ATCAAAATATAATTTGACAATCACTATGGCAACAAATAATGAAAGTAAAAATATTCCTATATGTTTGCGTAAGTATTCATATAATTATATTGATATTAAAGTCGTTATTAATTATAACACCATTATTCATATATAGCCACACCTCCAGAAGATTATTTAATTGTTCATAGTAGTGACTTTGAAATACTATTATTGGCTATGGAATCGTTTAAATTACGACATCCAAAATGCAAATTAATTGACAATCTAATTCAAACAACACAGCTTTTCAAGGTCAAAAGTATCAAGGTTAAATATAGGAGGTGCTTATATAACTCCTATAAATATAACTCGGTTTGTGCATATTTCTTTATTTAATCATGGCTGCAATGAAATCTGGTTATATTTGTTTGAGTAATTTATATGAAAATACAAAAACCTATGATATTGCTTATAAAGCATTATCTAATCATTTTGATGATAAATTTGATCAATTGTTAAGTGAACCACAAGTGAATAAATCAGATTTCTTTAAAGATGCTATACTTAATCGTAAAGAAATTAAAGAGCGGTTTATTCTATATGGTTATGAATTGGAAACACTGGATCATTTGGCAACAATTTTGACTGAATTGAAAAATAAATCAACTGAAATATTTGAAAACGGAATCGATGAAGTCAAACGATGTATATTTATTTCTTTTTAAATTATATAAATTGATTAATTATTAAATATTCTAGTAATTTTAAATTTCAGGATTCAAAATTACAAGAAAAGGATACAATTCTTAAACCAGTTGACGTAAATATTTATCAATTAAACAAAATATTTTTTAATTATTTTATTCATTTTGGAACAGACGAAATGATAACACCATATTACAAAATGGAACAAACGAAATGATAACACAAAATTACAAAATAAAATTATTATTAAATAAAAATTTTATTTAAAAATTATATTATTTGTAAAATTTTATAAAAACATTAAATTTAATTAATAAAATTATATTTATAAAACTATGATATGAATACTTTCTTTATTCCCATAATGTAATTTCGACAGACTGGACAATGTCGACCATATCTTGCAGATTGTTGTCCACATGATTCACAGCAAACCAAATGACCGCATGGTAAAAATACAATATTCATTGTTTGGCGTAAACAAATTTTGCATAAAAATACTTCATATTCTGATTTTTCAAGTTCAATTTTGTTAAAATTATTTATAATCGGCGCCATTGAAAATCTGTGATACGGCACAATTCCATAGTCACTTAATTGCCATTCACTTTGAGTTCTCAAATTATAACGATATAATTTTTCAAAAATATTATATTCTTTAAATTCATGTTTTTTTGGATTATAATATATTGGAATTTCTTTGCCATATTCTTCAGCATAAAACGGACACAATGGAGAATACTTTTTATGTTCGTATTCTGGGTTATCATTTAATTCCCAATTTAATAACACTACATTACAATAAGCACATTGAACAAAATCACTCTTTTGTAAATAAAATAAACCTTCTTTTGCAATTTTATCAACACTTAAGGGAAATTTTTCAAATGCATCATCAAATGATAATAATCTATTTCGTTCATTTTTCATTAGACGTTTAAACGAAACCATCCATTCGTCATTTGTTGGGTGAAATTCACTCATAAGAGCTGGAAAAATACAATTCACATGTAATTCACTATATTTTTTGGACAACACATTCATATATTTTTGTTCCATTTTGGTGTTTCACTTTTGACGTAAGAAATAATTAAACATTTAGTTTATATAGAACTTAACAGGCATGCGCAATAGATATGCCCTTCATAACAAAACAAATATGTGAAGGTCTTTAGGCGTAACTAATGTCAAGGTAAAGAACGTGGGTTCAAACCTTTGGCAGTTAATTTATTCGTTTTGAGTTTAAATAAAATAAAATTATTTTAATATTTTACAAAAATTATATTTAATTTGAAAATATTTAACACTTCGTTAATAAATTATTATCGTGGATATTAGTGCAATTAGTTGTAGTAAGTGGTCGGTGTGAGGTGCAGTCGTAGAACCGTTCAGAATTTTGTCAATTTACCTGTCAATACAGTTTTGACGGCTATTCTGCTCCAAATTAGGACAGGAGATGTCTTTTTATAACAACATACCTGTGCTGATACTACTAACTACTACTAGTCCCACAGTAAATGTGGCTAAACTGGACGATAGGTCAAACACTGTTACCCATACCATATCCCCAGTAGATCGTGTGAGGGCCGACACTCGCACACTAGCTCCGGGCTCTCCTGAGTTAATTCAAAGAGTAATCAACACGGATTGGGTCACACCCGAAGAATATATGATCTATATCGCTTCGCCAGCGCTGTTTAATCAGGCACTTAAAATTAATTCCGATATAGGTACTGATGACCTACATGTGCCGGACACTGTTGGCCAGAATCTAGCGATATCATCACCAACCATTGTGGCTAAAGTTGGTAGAGGTACAATCAAGGCTACGGTAGACCCGCCGGGTAATAGTGAACAGAATCCTATTGAGTACTTGGCACTACCGGTGACGGGCAAAAAATTTACAGTAAACACCAGTTCCCCGCACTTGCCGTATATGTCGGCCATTATTAAAGTTAAAGAACTATGGTTTCGAACAGTACATTTTAATACCCCATATCATATGGCCCTCAACCGAATGTTACAACTGGTGGACAAACACCGGCCCACCGGTGGTGGGCCTATGACTTACGCCGAGTGGGTACGAGTGGCGCTACTCATGCCTCGTATCAGGGATTGTAATAAACCCGACGTTGTGTTTGACCCGATTCTCTGCCAAAACTATGTGCTAAACGCTCTGGATTTATACAAAAAGGCATGTACCGGTTCATGTTTAGTAATGTAAAATAACCATAATTGTATTTTTATTGCAGACACTAGAGGTGTGCCCAAACATGGATAGGGCCGGCCTATCGTTCCCCATGTTTAACACACTTCACATGTTTAACACGGAGTCTGTGGTGTCGGACGCCGAGTGCCGTGAAATCGCACGATTGCGGCAATTGTTTGCGCACAAGTGTAGGACAGCCGCCTATATCGAGGGCCGACCCCTCGAAGTGCACGTATCACTCGATGTAACGCCTCTAACGTTGACCTCAACTAAACCCGGTATTGCAAATGCCAGCCAAAGTGATGCGCCGGTCGTCGCACGGGTTAGCCAACAAATAGTTTCATCTGGAGCGGCACCACAGGCCCCCTCAGTCAGCCCTTTGTCTAAGCCTTTAGTGAACAAGAATGAACTGGCTGAATTTCGCCAAATGGTAGCCAAAATCACCAGGGACGATTTGCTCGCCTTTACCCAGTTATGCCACTGTATGGGCGTATGGGTTAAGACTATGGGTCGGTTGACTATTGATAACCAGGAGTTGTTTTGGTCGCACGTATCGCAGCTAATGCTAGTCTCCGGTTACGGGACATACAGTAAAGACAAATGTTGTGTTATGTTTACCAATCACGTGACCAAATATTATAAAATTGTAAGGAGAGGGAGAGAGAGAGGGAGAGAGAGAGAGAGAGAGANTATTATAAAATTGTAAGGAGAGGGAGAGAGAGAGGGAGAGTGAGAGAGAGAGAGAGAGAGAGAGAGAGAGAGAGAGAGAGAGAGAGAGGGAGAGATCTAACTTTGAATTTTTAACTTTAATTACTTATTTAATAGACTTTGAAATATTTCCCGAAATATACTAAAGCCATAAAAGTGTACCCGTATTTCGCTGTAATACATGCCATGGATTTGAGTCAATTAATGTTTAAGAAATCATATAACAAGATAAAAGTATTACGCAATGCGTTTACTAATTAAGATGATTTTTATTATTGAATTAAACTTACAACTGGTTTGACTACAAAGGTAATATTTAAGGTAATATTATACTGTTTATTGTATTGTTAAATATTATTATAATTTATAAATAATGTGTTCTAGCATATAAATAAATAGAAAAATAAGTTATACTATATAATTAAAAATAATTATAATTGTTTAAATACACAATTTAAAATTATTTATATATATTTTATTAACTATGATTAATATATAATAAACATTTATACCGGAATCAGTTTGAAAAATTATCATATTTCTAATTGGGTGATGACATGTCTGGAAATGTCTTGTTTTCTTGGTATTTATGTGGCTGGGAATGTGTTTTGGTTTGTTTCAATGTGTGGATCAGCTTATGGTGATGCCTTGATTGTGGCTGGTCTAAATCCTTCACACAATATCGGGGTTTGAATCATGCTCAAATAGGGGCTATACAACATTTGATTGTTAAGTAATTGACATTATTTATATTATAACAAGAACTACCTTAATGCTAATTTGACTACTCTTTTTAAATTTATATAGATTGTACGCTATATAAATTATCATGATTGATATAATTATAAACACAATCATTGTGTGTTTGCTTTTGGCAACTTTATTGGGACTTTGACATCAAATATGGATTATTTTAATTAAATAAAATTTAATTTCTGTTGCAGTTTAATAAATAAATTTTATATTAATTATTTACAAACTACAGTATTTTTATGAGATTTTATGCTTGAATTTCTAGAAATAGCAGAAAATATATATAAAATATTTATAGCTTGATAAATATTAAACCTCGATCATTTGTTCACATTTATTAGTCTAAATTGTCATCTTTGTATTAAATACGAGTATATATTTGAGTAAATAACTATTGAGTATGAATAGTACCGATTAATAAATGCTTTATCCTTGGTCATGCTTTTATCAAATATTTTTGCTTCACAAATTGTAACTTAAAATTCATATAAACTCTAAAACCTGTAATCAAACTCATGTACTGTATATTTTGTAACCACTGTTTTTGTTGTTGTGTCTCATGTAAAGTACAGTATTGTTAACATTAATTTTGGTTTTTTAAACAACGACTATATTTTCTGCCAATGTTTATGTTATGTAACGGTTATAATGAAGTGGTGTTTACTGTGAACTACAAATAAAATACTTAATGATCTAAGAATGAAAGTATTGGTGGATTTGAATGGATGTGAAAACTATAGCATTCGTATCGATCGTACGGATAGTGCGGTTGTGTTGCCCTTCAATCAGGTCTACAATGAGATCCGCAAACAAATCAAACACAACATCACTAAACATAGCCATGTGTTTGAGGTATGCATGAAAAACATGAATTGTGTACACCTGTATAGTGTACTACACATACACTTGTAGTTATTAATAGTAGCACATGTCTAACACATGTCAAAACATAAACATTAATTGTATAAAATATATAATTATTTCAATTATTAATAGATATTTGACACGGATTTCAACGAGTATTGCGTTATTCCCAGCGATGAACACGTGATTGAAAACCTGTCGCGACTACGGGTGCGGCCGAAGACAGTGAACAACGAGTCCATAGGTTTAGGCATTAATCGGGACTCAAATGTTGGCCACAAATACAGCCATAAAATACAGTACGAGAAAAATGAACTCAACTTAAGTGAAAACTATATCAATAAAAGTGATGACAGTGTCTATAATGAGGACCGGAAGAGCTGGACTGCCGGTGGCAACACATCCCTAAATATCTGCATTAATAGTGATATTAATAGCCATTCAGTGCCGGCACCGGAACCCCAATCAGCGACACCAAAATTGCCACAAAAATTAGCCCAAAATAACGGCAAACCGTTTAACGTCGGGAACGGTATGAATAAAATGATGAACACCGGGAGTCCGGTCAGTGTTAGTCCACCATTAGTAGTGCCAAATGGACATTCATCGGCAGCACCCACTCAAGCAAATAAATCAATAATATCTACACCTATACCCTCGCTATTAACGCCGGGCTCTCACCCCTCGGCGCCCATCAACTATCTGGACGTTGAACTCAATTCAGACACTTTCGCCACAACCGGCAGTTCCCCACACATGCCATACATTACATTCACTGCATGTGTGGGCACTGTATGGGTGATCGGTATTATGTTTGTGGATGACGAGCACCGGGCGTTCATACAGTTAATGCATATATTATCAAATAACGGCGGTAATCATCCGGATTTTATTGTCAAACAAATGGCCAAAAGTGGTTTCGATGACTGGGATTATCACAAGTGTTTGAATTACTTTTACAATGCGTTGGAATTGTATAAAAAGGTAATTTTTTGTGTTTTATTTTCTAATTTATTATTATTTGTGATTATTTTTTTCTTCCGTCAGACTTTGGCCAACTGTCCGAACCGGGAGACGGCGGCCACCGTTTACCCCCTGTTCAACACAATGGGGGACCCATTTGTGCCCTATTTTCTCATGACTACCAAAGAGTACGCAAAACTCAACGAATTGAAGCGATTGTTTGCCGCGAAATGTGACGAATGCCTCACCACTACTGTCCCCACTATTAGCGAAGCACCGGTAGCTGTCATTGTGGCAGACAATGGGTCGGCCTGTAATCGCACACCCGAATTGACACAGACTAATACAACTGTATTTAACACCGACACGAGATTAATTGCTGCTAATCCTATGGCAGCCCCAGTAGACCCACCGGGTTGTAGCGATCAGAACCACATTGACTACTTGGCACTACGCGTGACGGGCAAAAGTTTTGTGACAAACACCAGTTCCCCGCATTTGCCGTACGTGACGGCCATTGTTAAGGTTAGGGACGTATGGTATAGGATCGGGCATTTCGCCAACGCCTATCAGTTGGCCCTCAACCGACTGTTACAATTGGTGGACAAACACCGGCCCACCGATGGTAGGCCTATGACTGATGTCCAGTGGGTACGCGTGGCGGCACATATGCCCCCAATCAGGGATTGCAATGAACATGAAGTGGTGTTTGACCCGAAACTGTGCCAAAACTATTTGCAAAACGCAATGGACTTATATAAAAAGGTTACTTATTTTTAATTTATGCACATTTATGTAAATGTTTCATGTTAATAATTATCATATTGATTTTTGCAGACACTAGAGGTGTGCCCAGACATGGATAGGGCCGGCACAGCGTTTCCCATGTTTTATACGCTACACGTGTTTAGCCCGAAGTCAGTGGTGTCGGACGCCGAGTGCCGTGAAATCGCACGTTTGCGTGAATTGTTTGCGCACAGGTGTGGGACAGGAGAGGCATATATCGGTGGCAGTGATGGGCCACCGGTGCCGACCCGACACTGTATTGAAAGTGTGCTAGAAATCGCACCGGTATTACTCGATACACTCGTAACAACACTAACCACAGGGTCTTCATTGCCGGCCCCTTCAGACAGTGTTTCGGTCTCTCGCACACAGCCTATGAGTGCCGATCACTACTGGCCTAATCACTCGGTAGCAGTTAATGAACTTGATGAATTGCTGTCAATATCGGCCAAAATCACCCTGGCCGATATATTTCCATTCGCACACCTGTGCCGCAGTGTTGCCGAAACGGTCAAAACTGTGGGTCCGTTGATTATTGATAACCAGGAGTTGTTTTGGTCGCACGTATCGCAGCTAATGCTGGACACCGGTTACGGATCACTCAATAAAAGCATTTACCGGCTCTTGTTTACCGATCACGTGACCAAATATTATGTGATTGTAAGTATGAGAGAGAGAGAGAGAGAGCCCGGCGTTAATAGCGAGGGTATAGGTGTAGATATTATTGATTTATTTGCTTGAGTGGGTGCTGCCGATGAATGAGAGAGAGAGAGAGAGAGAGAGAGAGAGAATTATAAAGTATTTAATTAAATTTTTTATTTATTAGGCTTTAAAGTATTTCCCGGAATATTCGGAAGCGGTTAAAGTTTACCCGTTTTTTTATGCCATACATGCCATGGATTTGAGTCAAATATTATCACACAAATCATACGAAAACATTAGAGCATTACGTAATGTGTTTTAAAATTGAGATTAAAATACAAATAAAATTTTTGTAGTTTACAAAAGTATTTGTAATATTTGATTAATAATTATTAAATACTATGATTATCTTCCAACTGTCCCTTTGATAAATTTAAGGTTTTCAAGTCCAAGGTTGACCAGAGTTGGCAACCCTACTATTTAGAGTAAAACGATTTACAATAGCGTTGGTATCGGACAATGGCCTCATCATTGCGGGTAAACACCGGGCGCTTCGGGCGCTGAATGTTAACCCAACGCAAGACATCGGCAGAAATCTGCCATAAAAAATTAACACGTTTAAAATTTTTAAATAAATTTCTATACAAAATATAAAATTATAAAGTTTTGATTACATTTTGTTAGTACATTTGTGATAAAATACACACCGCAACCTCCAACCTATAACGTATATACTGTATAAGATGACATTATTTTACCGGTAATACTGTCAAATCCAATCTAACTATGTTAAATATAGTTTATAATAAAAATAGTTCTAGGAATGCGAGTAATTATAAATAAAAGTAACATCATCGATAATTTTCAAAAAATTATTTTTACACTTGATTGAACATAGGATTACCGGTAAATTAAAGTCATTTTATATGGTATATACGTTACATGAATACCCATAAATTAGAGTTTGCGGTGTGTATAGTGACAACTATGATAATACCTGACTGTACATAAAATATGGAATCACCATTGCATAAATCCAACTAAACCACGATGGTTTAAAATACAATAATGCATTAATTATAGTTTCATCGTGTTGTACGGGTATAGTCGCGGCCACGAAAACAATGGTGCCCAGGAACGAGCTCTCGGTGCCAATGTAAAAGGGCTCGACCACCGGTGACATCTGAGCCATTTTGACTGGTAGAGTGGCCATTGGGCTACCCATGACAGAGACGGTCAGCCTACCCGTGATAACCGGTGCCCTATCATTGCCGTACGTGGTGTCGAACGAGGATTTCATTGTAGCTAAATATGGCACGAGCTCTGTGTGAACGTAGTTAGCGTGCTCTAAGTCGCAGCCATTTTTGTGTATTATCTGTAAATATTTTTCGCACGTGGTAGAAATATATTTCTAAATATTATTATGTGGTAACTTATAAAATTAATGTTTTTGGAATGCAAGTAAATCATTAAAATTACGATACACTGTTAAATGTAGAATGGCAGAATGTAATTATACTAAACAAAATAAAATTAATATTTATAAATGTAAAATTTAGGAAACTTTTCAAATTTTGATTAATAAAATATTAATATTGATGTGACCACGAGTTCAACAGTCATTTTATAAAAACTTCTACTGTCTAACTCCTGACCCATACTCTGTACCCTTTAGTAACAGCTCTAAACTCAGTACTTTTCCGTATACTTCTGTACAAATAACTTGATGTGACCACGAGTTCAACAGTCATTTTATAAAAACTTCTACTGTCTAACTCCTGACCCATACTCTGTACCCTTTAGTAACAGCTCTAAACTCAGTACTTTTCCGTATACTTCTGTACAAATAACTCCTGTAAACCCCAATCATTGCTATGTAAACCCTATCAGCCAATCATACAATACCTGTAATTTCCATTGAATGCCAATCACTTTGTATGCATTTAAGGAGCGCTCAAACCCAGAGAGAGCTGAGTCTTATCCCACCCTTCGCGGTGTTAACATCATGTTTTAACTTAATAAACTCTCTTAACATGTTTTAATCGTCGTCTCATCTCTCTCCTCGTCTCTCATCGTCTTTTGTTCACTGAGAACAAGTCCACAACCGTTGGCCGCGAGATGTTCCCGCTCTGAACTTCTCCCCAGCTGTTCCGCACCGCAACTGTGCGATACTTGTCTTCCAGTGTCATAACAA